GTGCTGCAGCTCGCAGGCAGGAGACAGCCAGCACAACCCAGACAACTTCCACGCTCTCTCCATGTCACATGTTTGGTGGCATTTCCTACACCAGCTTCCACAACACAGGCGTGTGAGCACCACCAGCTCCTTCCCCACACAGAACCCTCATTCTTCCAGCCTGTCTGGGCTCATAAAAACAGTTTTCTTTTCTCAGTCTTAATCCTGGCTTCCAGGGAAACAGAATGTTTTTTACATCTCTCTATTTAATTTCAGATCAGTACTTTACTGCAGCTCATGAGAGGTCACGCTCACATTTCACTCCTCTATCATCTGCTTTGAAATTCCCAGTATCAAAGGAGTCCATACCTGTCTGCTTATAATTTTGTAGTCCTATTTTACAACTGAAGTGTAATTTAAACAAAACACGTGAAATCCGGAGTAAGCTCTGAAGTCTTGTAGCTCTGCCTTGTATTTCCACTATTAAAACCCAATATAACAATTTTTTAGATCAAACAGATCCCTTAAAAGAGCTCTCCAATGCCTCAATAACCATTTCCATACTCTTGAAAGAGATCCTATTCTAAGCTTGAGCATCCCATCTTCTTACAGCTCCAGGACAACAATCCTGCAGGACAAGTAACACAGTCACAGCACTAAGGGACATTCTCCTGCAATATTCCTGTCATCCAACACCAGCAGGGTCAGAGAGCACAACACTTTATAAACCACTGAGACACAGCATAATGCACATTAAAGCCTGGTTCACACAACAATTCATTTCTGCTGCCCTCCTGGCCTTTATGGGGAAACACCACTGTTTACATGTTTATTGATCTTCTGTTATCCATTGTCCATCAGTCCTCTCCCTTTTAGAACCCCAGCTGCACTGGGTATTGATTTGGACTTTGCATAGCAGAATATCTCACCTCACTGTCAGGAGAGGAGAGAGTTAAATAGGAAAGACAATGAACAGAGAAGTAGGAGTTTTGAGGAGCAGAAAGGCAAGATCAGCGAATAAACCCTGTTTTATCATTATATTCTCATAGCTCTCCAAAGACACTAACAACTGGTTTCAACAGAGACAACAGTACCCAGAGAATAAACATGACTGGTAAATAACACAACACCCTGGAACTTCTCTCCTCCCAGAGGGTGAAGCAGGAAGAAAAAACACCAGCAAAACTTAGAGGGATTACTGCACACTGCAGACCCCTCAGTCAGTCTGACCTACTCTATCATCCAAACTTGCTCCTCTGCTTCCTTTCTCTCACCATTTCCAACAGAAGCAAGACTGGCTGTGGCTAACACAGGAGGTCCTCAAGCAATGCCTCTCAGATGCTTCAATTGAGCAGTTTCAACTTAAGACACTTGGTTTGTATTTTTCAGAGATACTGGTCATCAAGGAGTCCATTAAAGGAAATGATGAAAGAGGCAGATTCTGCATTCCTGAACTGGTCTGACTGGGAGTCCTGCACTACACTGGTTGCATTGTTACTGTGCTGACCAAGGAAAGGAGATTTTGCTCTGTATAGACTCAAACTCATGAGACCAAGTTAGCACAAGGCAGCCTCCAGTGCAAAACTCCAGCAAAGATTTATGTGAAAGAACATTAAAATCACCTTAAAAGACTTAAAATTCCATTTGTCAAGTACTTAAATACCTTAGGACCTGTGATACACAAAGATTGGCCCAAACCCAAGCAAATCCACTCACTTATAGCTCTTCTGAAGAGGATACCCCTTCAGTGCTGTCTCTGCAGATCAACCCTCATCCCTCACAAGGCTCTGAGAGAGCAGGGGCTGAGGCTGCTGGGTGAGGATAAATCCTCCCAGCCAATGCACAGCCTTCAGGTCCTGTTGTCCTAAGCTGGAAATGGGATTTTGATCAATTATTGTTAACTTTCTGCCTTCAGACTTCTATGCTTGCCATGTTAACAGAAGCTTTATAGAAGCCGACCTCCAAAAAGAGATAATTCACAATTCTGTCAAGAACAGCTGAACATATATTTTTATGATATAATAATTGGGATTTTTGTCCAGCAAAGATGATTAATTCAACCCCTTGCATTACAAACCCCCCCCCCCCAAAAAAAAAAAAAACAACAAAACAAACCCTTTACTTTGTGAATCTGAACCAGTTAGCACAATCCTCTACAATAAGGAGTGGTACATTTTTTTTTTGGTATCAACAGTTCTGACATGATATTGTTCTCTCAGCAGCTCAATGTTCTACCCTCCTCCGCCTCGAACGCACAAGACATCCTTTCAAGTGTCCACTTTGCATTACTTAAAAATGTTCTTGCCCTTTATCAGGCACATGTGGCACCCTTGTGCACTTCCAGGGTTGGTTTCTACTCTGAATACATCTCTTCTAATACAAAGTACACACTCATGAAGCTCACAGTATTAACTCTTATCTTTTTTTCTCTAATCTCTAAGCCTACATTATGCTCTCATTTTCCAGCATACATTGTCATCTGATTGTTTCATTTAGGGCAGTAAGGGTTTCTAGAACATGAGGCCTTTATTCATGGATAAACGTTTTAGAGCACACTGAATTAGCATTACTACTGTGGACATCTGATACCACAATTTCTAGCTTATCAAAGGAAAAAAAATAAAAATCCAGAGATTTGAGGGACTTTTCCAAGCTCCAAGACTGTGTTTAAGACCGGAATTTACTTGCTCTCCCCTTCTTTTGGAACCTACAGTTTATCCTAATAAAGTCTTCATTTCTCCTCAGCTCCTGGGCAGGGGTCAGATTCACTCTGCACACTCAGCACCACAGTTCATTCATCTCACAGGCAGAAACTGGCTAAAGCTCAGTCCTGGAGAGGACAGGGGAACATGTCCTTATGTATGGCCAGTGCCATGCCTGTGACTGGTCACCTTCACCCACACAGTGTAACTCTGGTGGCCTTTCAGATGTGCTACAAGAGAAACCTTCTGATTTCACCACAGGGAATTGGTTCAGTTGGCACAGAACGCAGGGGTAGAGCAGCACAGTCCCCAAATGGATCAACTAAAAAGCTGTTTGAATGCCACAGAGCATCCTCAGTCCTCTAGCTCCATGATTTTAAATGTATTTCAGTTATATTAGCCCTTTATTTGCTAAGTGTGTTTCATTATCTCCCATTACTTTGTTTACACCTCCCATAACAGAGAAATTACTGGCATTACCCATTATGTCCAGGCTTCCTGCTCCACATTCTTTACTTTGAAAAACAGCTGGTTTAGAAGTTCTTTAGTTAGAAACAACTAAGCATTTGGTATTAAAAGCTGGAGTCTTAAGAGTTGTTATCACACAAAAAGAAGCATACAATCAATACACACTATTGGGCCATGTCCTTCTTCAAGTTTTAGCTCTGGATTTTATTAATTTATTTTTTCCTGGAATAGGTAATTTCAATAAGTTCTTTGCACAGACCAGAAGTGTTCACAAGAGAAGTGCTCAGCTTTGCCAGTACAACTCCCAGGCCATATCATACCCCAGCAAACTCCAGTGTAAGACATCTCTGAGCACAGAATCAACTTCTTGGTCTTCTACTCAAGGGAGAAAGCACCCTGCACTGCTTTAGAAACACCTCAAGCCTCAGCACCTACTTGGACCATAATTAATATGAGTAGCAATCTACTCTTAATCACAGTAGTAATCTCTCACAAATCATAAAACAGCATCACATCAGAGTCGTTGAAAGTCAATTTTAACATCTCAAGTCACTAGTTTAGCATTTTATGTTTAAGATAAAGTCCTTTTACCTCTCACTTAGCACACTTTCAGTTCCAAAAAAATCAAAACAGAGTACTCATGCTGCCTGAATTTTATTCAATTTAGGAATATTAAGTTATTTCAGCACTAAAAAGACAACATCTTCTTGCAATCATAGACATCCCTGAAATTGTAACCCCTTATTTTTCCTGAGTCGCACGGGTAATATCATCTTGAAAGAGGAGTATGACAAAGCATCTTAACAAAAGATAATCTTACAGCACTGAAGACTTACGCTAATTTATCTTATGGCTATAATACTTAAGTGGCATACAAAAGTTTAAATTAACCTCCGCTGTATACTTCATTTCCCAAAATTATGGTCAGGAACTCCTCAAGACATTTGCTGACAGATACAAATCACCGAGAAGTTGAGCACAAACATTCAGGAGGAACTTTAGCACACGTTGAAGAGACACAGTACATGGGTTTAGCCCCTGAACTGCAATGAAGATAACACAGATGACACCGAAAATTAAGAGAAGCAGGAGAAGCAGCTAAGGAGCTGACAGCTAGGGCAAGAGGGAGGAAACAATTTTGGTAGACAGGAAACCCCTCGCCTTGGGTGGTAAAAGCCAACCGAAAAATTCTCCCCCGATTTCAGCAGGAGCTGCCGCCTCCTCCGTCGCTTGTTTTCAAGGTGTCGCTCGTACTCCGGCAGCTCCTGCCCAGAGCACCCCCGGCTCGGCAGAGCCCGCAGACCCCATCCCGCCCGGCCCCGCTGCCCGCGGGCTCCCGGCTCTCCCCCGGCCGCCATCCGCCCTGCCCGGCCCCGGGAGCCGCCCGCGGCCCCTGCGCACCTCCCTGCCCGCAGCCCGCGGGGACCGGAGCGGGGCCGCCGGCCGCCCTCACGGCACTGCCGGCCCTCACCCAGCCGCGGCTCCCGGCACCGCCCCGGCCCCTCACCTTCAGCCGCGGCTCTCGGCACTGCCCCGGCCCCTCGCCTCAGCCCCGGCTCATGGCACTGGCCGCTCCTGCCCGCGCCGGGCGGCGGCAGCGGCGGGGAGGCGGCGGCGCCGCCAATCCGGGCCCCGCGGGGGGACGGGCCTGCCCGAGCCGCCGCAGCGCCGGCCCGAGGGGCGGGACGGGGCGGGACGGAGCGGGGCGGGGAGAGGGACGGGGACGGGGACGGGGACGGGGACAGGGACAGGGACGGGGGGACCCCTGGCAGCCGGAGCGGCCCGGTCCGTCCCTCGGGCGCGGCCGGTGTTGCCGCGGCCGGTGGTGCTGACGCTCGGAACGGCCGCGGGGCGAGCAGCCGCTGGGGCCCGCGGCCCGCGCGGGTGCGGAGCTCCGCCCGCTCCCGGTTCCGCCCGCTCCCGGCGGGCCGAGCCTCCGCGGCCCGTGCGATAACCCCCGGTTCCGGGAACGCGGCGCTCGGTGCGGTTTGTGTCACGGGCTCGGTGCGGGTTTGTGTCACGGGCTCGGTGCGGTTTGTGTCACGGGCTCGGTGCGGGGCTCGCCGCGGGCAGCGCTGCGGGAGCGGCTGCGGCAGGACGCGTGTGCGCGGCCAGGCGCAGAGGAGCTGGTTGGTATATGAATATCGCAGAAATGGCCAAAAATTATCGGCTCCCTAAGCGAGCAGGCACTTATCCCAGGAAACCTGGCCTGGCAGAGATCATTGTATTTACCCTGCATATTTCCCAATTTGCAGCAGACGGAGAAAAAAATTAATTTTCTGTGTCAAAAGGTTGTTTTCTCAATAATGGTCTTATGCAACAAATTACAGCCTTGGTACTGCTTTTACCCTTTGCTTAATTGCTCTTGCCTTTGAAGGCAGTTAATGATGACATTACAGCATTACACCGGGTCAGGCTGATGCTGGCCCGGGTTTCTTTAGTCAACCCTTGGGTTAATTTGGCTGTACCAATTATCTTCTCTTTAATAATTTCAGTTTGAATTAAAACATAAAGAATCCTGCAAGATCTTCCAGACTCTTTATTTCGTACCAGCCTTTAAATTTATGATACTTTATGAGGTGGTGGGACAAATTTATTTACTAACCAACATTTAGTAGGATATGTGAGCAGAATTCAAATTATTCCAAACTTGCCATTACGAAGAGTCAAATATAAATTACTAATTTTCAAACAGTTTCCTATGTTGTCTGCAGCTGTAGCTGTGCTGAGGTCAGGGTGCTGTTGCACCAGGCATTATACACGTGGTGCATAGCAGGGGTTGCAGTCTAGGTCAGAAGTAGGTGCAGGTAGCACTCAGACTGCTTCTCTCATTAAATGGCAGCAATAGTTCAGCGCTTGTGGAACTGAATTATTCACAGGCATCTCTGAGTTCTGTTTTTAAAAGTAGGGTTCCTGCATGTAATGAAAAACCAGAGTTACTGAGAGCAGCCAGCACCTGCCAAAATCTGCTTCAGTGAGGAGTGGCCTGAGCTCACCAAATGGATGGTCAGAGCCTTCAAGCTGTTGGATGTCCAAGCACTAAACTTAAGGGTCACAGCTGAAGGAATTGAAGGAACCCAGCAAAAGAGTGCACTGTGTGAGTGTCACTGCAGGACCTCAATTTAGTCTTAATTTTTTTAATGAAAAAGAAACTCTCTTTGAAATACAGATACACATATTCATCTCAGACTGTTCATGGCTGTCCTTGTATATAGGAAGACCTTTGAATCCTTATACAAAGCTGATGTTAATGTTTCCAGAGTCTGGAGATAAGATAATGGTTGTTTCCTTAACAACAGGTTTTCCCTGCAGGAACAGACCTACAGCTGAAGCTGTGGCTGATGGGTTGGTTTGGGCTGTATTAAACTACAATCAACTCACTGGAATCTCTGAAGCTTTTTCTGCCCTCTCTTTGCATGTAACTTAGGCAACACATGGACTAAAACTCCTGACCTCAAGATGAATATTTGTGCACCTGGAGTTAGGTCCTCAGCAGAGGTTTCTTCCATAGCATGGTGTGTGCTGAGGAAAGGCCAGAGGCAGCCCCTGGGAAAAACTGGGCACAAGCTGTGTCTGGCCAGGGTACCACACTCTGCTTCATGGGAATTTTCTTCTAAAGGCAAGTCCCAGTCAGGTGAAAGGGTGGCAAAAGGAAAAAATCTCAGAATATTTGATTCAGTCAGTGCTGTAAGAGTAAATCCTTTTGTTGGATTATTTACCTCCCACCTGTCCTGCAAAAAGACAAGAGAATAAAGTAATGCTTATTTATTTTTAATATTTCAGTATCCCATGTACAAGTATGCAGTCATTCTGAGAAGCAGCAGCCTGCAGGCTCTAGAAACAGGTATCTACAGTCAGGAGCTGCTTTTGAAAAGAATTACTTTAATCTTTCGGAATATGTGAGGGAGACATTTAAATACCTTTAAAAGCAGTGCTTGAGCAGGCTGTAAAATAATACATAATATTTCTCTATAATGCCCCCATCAGCATTTCACAGCTCAGGGCAGTTTAAAGCCTCTACTTTTGTGAGAAAAGAGCATTACATGAGCTTTGGGGTTCCACAAAATTTGTGTAGTTTTCACAAATCCTGTTACTGTCAGATCCTGGGGAAGACCCGAGAGCTGCAGGACAGCCCTGCTTGAATTTTGTGCTGAGAAGCTTTGAGAAGAACGAGGCAGCAGCTGAGCCTGAACGTGTGAATCTTGGCAAACCCAGCGCTGCGTGTGTGAGAGCAGCTTTATTTTTGGTTTGTTTGGTTGTTACCAGTGCAACATTAAACGCAACGGAAAGAAGCTTAGCGTGGAAAAACCCAAACAAGGCTGCAGCCCACCCAGTGTGCACAGAGCCCAGCAAGGGCTGCCAACGCTGGGGCTTCAGTGCTTCAGCTGCCTCTGGACATTACATGAGCTTTGGGGTTCCACATAGTTTTCACAAATCCTGTTACTGTCAGATCCTGGGGAAGACCCGAGAGCTGCAGGACAGCCCTGCTTGAATTTTGTGCTGAGAAGCTTTGAGAAGAACGAGGCAGCAGCTGAGCCTGAACGTGTGAATCTTGGCAAACACAGGGCTGTGTGTGTGAGAGCAGCTTTATTGTTGGTTTGTTTGGTTGTTACCAGTGCAACATTAAACGCAACGGAAAGAAGCTTAGCGTGGAAAAACCCAAACAAGGCTGCAGCCCACCCAGTGTGCACAGAGCCCAGCAAGGGCTGCCAACGCTGGGGCTTCAGTGCTTCAGCTGCCTCTGGTTGTGGGTATGGAGGGGAGGATGAATGCCACGTTCCTTCCACAGCTCTTGTGGGCCCATCTCCTGCTTGTCAAATGAACGAGAGTGTTCTCAGCACCTTCCAAATTCTTTCTCTGCCAGTGGCTTCACTGCTGTCTTTGGATCTGAATTGTCTAACCTGCAAATTGCCCATCCTGTCCTCCACCCCATCAGTTCTCCCCGCACTGATCCCAGCCCCTGGGCCTGGCTCCTTGCTGGCACAAAGGGGCACAGCCTGGGCATACCCTCCCCAGGGAGCTTCCCCACTCAGCTCCCCAAGCTCTGCTCCAAATCTGCTACAAAATCCCCCTGGGAACTGCAGAAATTCTGAGCTCCTGTTGCTTCCAGTGCTAAAGCACATTATTCTGGGGTTTGGGTGTTTTGGGGTTTTTTTGTTTTGTTTTTTTATTGCTGCTTCATTTTTAAAGGTGAGCTGAGGATAGATCACAGAATCATTAAGGTTGGAAAAGACATCCAAGATTATTGAGTCCAGCCTTTGACTGATCATCACCTTGTCAGCTAGGCCAGAGCATTCATAACTCCTCAATTACAAAAGCAGGCAGGTCTCAAATCCAGCTGTAAAATAAAATATCCAAAAGAATGGCGGAGAGAAACAACATTTAAAAATTACAGGAATTTAGTCCTCTTTTGCTTTTGTGATCTTCCTATTTCTCTCTTTTTTTTTTTAATTTAAAAATTTTATTTATTTAAGGCTTCTAGAGTCCCAAGTGTCTGTGGAGAAACAGCCCCATGCAGCTGCTCACAGCAAGCCCTTGCCCTTAGAGAAGACACACTGCCAGAGCCAGGGGAGGCTCCAGCTTGCACCCGTGTCCAGCACAGCCTCTGGTGGCTGCCAGGAGCTCAGGTGGAGTCGCAGGACAGGCTAAGGCAAGGGCAGAGCCTGCCAGGGTGTGCTGCTGCTGCCAGGTGACACCCAGAGCAGAGCAGCTCCCAGGGAAGCTGCTTTGCAGGGCAGCCTGGCTCGGGCAGCTTCAGCGCTGGCAATTTGCACTGGTTTCTCTCAGACCTGCAAAACGTTCTGGATGGTTCTGACATGGGTTTGTCTCTCCCTGGCACCGAATCCAGACTGGGGAAATGGCCAGAGCACACCTGCAGCAATGCCACCCATCACTGGGGAAGGGGCAGGTCCCTGGGCCACCCGGAATAGCCACGTGCTGCTGCCAAAGTCACAGCAAGGTTGTACGAGCTGGTGTCTGTATTTCAGTGTGCCTGGCAAATGTACAAAACTCTAAAAGCCTGAAATCTGATCTGCACATGGTGGAGAAGTCAATACTCCTCCCTCCACCGAGACCTTGGTGAGGTAGGATATTGTGGCTGAGTGCTGGAGCACTCCAGAGTGCAGCTGTGGCAAAATGCAAAGCTGGGGGCAGGTTGGGGGATACAGCGGCACAAAGGCTGCAGTTTGTGCAGGTATTGCACCACAAGGCCTTGACAAAAATGTCAGATGCTACAGACAATTTTCTGGTAATCAGGGCAAGCAAAGCACAAAATAAACAGTGTGTCCTGACCTTTCAGCTGCCAAATCATTCACCTATTTTAAATCTACAAGTAAATTTAGTTCTGACATTACAGAACAGCTGAAGATACTTGTTTAAATCAGCCACATACACTGCAAGTTTTCCACAGGCACAGGAGCATTAACACCAGGCAGCAGCACCTCCTGCTCCTGCCTGGACAGATGCTATGGGTCTACACTGATGGGCCTAATTTAAATGGTTAGTTAAGGGAAAAGAGCATTGACTATAGACTGGAAATGAACAGCAGCCTTTAGATCCACAAGTCCAAATCAACTGTCAGGAGGTCCATAATGGTTTTTTGGGGGCAGAAGGAGAACATATGGCCGGGCTGTCTCTGGTGATCTTATTGCCCCTTGTTTTCACAGGGAAAGTCAGAGAAATTAATCTGAATTAATAATACCTGTGACTTGAAAGTTACACGTGTGAGTTTTGTTACTCAAAGTGGCCTTCATTTGATTTAGCTTTCTTCATTTTCCAAGTAAAGTACAGTAAATCAGATTAATGCCACTTAATTCTGAATATGAATATCTGCATAGGTCTTAATAGAATTTAACTAATCTACTTTAAAATATCATTCAGCTCAGGTTCCCTGAGTGTCCCCTTCAAGGAAAGACATCAATAGACTTAATGGGAATTGTTCCTCGATTGTTTGGCATGAGATCAAAACATCACTATCATAAAAACAGTCACATCTTGCTTGGATGTCTTTGTTCTGAGAGCATTAACACCCGACCCAGAGCTGAATGTATACCTGCTGAAATGGAAGCAGAAATGGCAGTGTGGAGTGAGCTTTTAGTTACAAAAGAGGGAAAACACTGACTTTGTTTTTTCCAGCTGAGATGGAGAACAGGCATAGGTGGTCAGGGTAATTTCCCTGTTCTGAAGGTGTAAACAATATGCATTGTTTTCATAAGGCTGATATAACTTAGGCTGTTGTGCAGTTCTAGACTGTAATTTCAAACCTGAAAGTTGCTAGAACTTTTATTTACATGAACTTCACTGAGGTGTGAGGAACTGCTGTCTCTGTGACAGTAACTTGGAACCTTCCACTGAGCAGTGGCATCCTCATGGCCCATATCTGCACATCTCCTTTTTCCAGTTGAGCTTTGCTGGGTAGGCTGGGCTTAAACAGTGAGAACATGAAGGTGCAGTCACACCCTGGAACAAACAAGAGCCCAGCTTTGAAAGCAAACACAGGACTGGTGTTTCCCCAGGTTAAAGAACTGCCTCTGACAGGGCACTCAGTGCCTGTCCAGGCACACAAAATGACCACAGCCAAGATTCAATCCTTCCCTGCTCTCCCTACAGCCAACCACCAGAGGCAGCTCCATCCCGGCCCATTTCTCCAACCCAGCCTCCAAAGCCAAAAGTTCTCAGTGCCTCCACAGCTGGATTCTTGTTCTGGACTTCATTCACATCCTCCTTTAGCACTTTAGGAGGAAGATCTCAGCACACAGATTTATTAAATAACATCCCACTGTGCTAATCATTCAGGTGGCTAATAAGGAACCTGTGCTCCTTAGGATGTCTGTTATAGGCAATGCAAAGGGACAGGTTCCAAACAGGCTCTCAGTGGCAGGACTGGAGAGCAGAGCAGCCTCTTAGCTCAGACATGCCAGGTAGGTGTCTCGTGAGGCACTGAGAATATTCTGCTCACCTTCCCTGTGTAATTTTCATGACCTGATGCATAATCCAGTCTCCAAACCTGCCCAGGTGCCCTGACTTTTCTGTCCAGGTGGCCTGATTTTCTGTCCAGCTCCTGCAGCCATTCCCTATTGCCACTTTCTGCAAACAGCATCACACTGGGCAGAGCAACATCTGGCTCCATGTGACCTTGGGGTTTCCTCAGAGTGCCATTAAATCTTTCAATTAAACATTGCTCAGTAATCTATCCAGCAATAATTCCTGAGTCAAAATTTCAAGTGCTGATGGATAATGTAGTATGTTTTCCACAAAAATCCAGTGAGATATATAAAGGAATCTGATATGTACATGCAGAGTCTGTGCTGGAACAAAAAATAAACTAAACACATCTAAGCTTTTAGAACATCAAATTCAGATTCCAGGGAATATTAAAATCTTCCAGATTTGAGTGACACTCACATTCCATGCTGCCTTCCATGGCATTTAGAGAGAGAATTAATCTTGATATTCAAAGCCTTCCAAAACCTGCATGTTTCAAAAATAGCAAAATTTATGTCTCTTGAAGTATGGGCTTGTTACAGCTATTTAGGAACCTCTTACTGAAGTCAGATGGATCTTGAACCTCCCCTGGGGATGGTTTAGATGTCAGTGTTCATCCATTAACAGATTGGAAACTGTCCAGGGCAATATTGCAAGAAAACACACCATGCCCAGGCTTTCTTCCGGTTTCTTCCTCTGTTAAACAAGACTCTCTGGGCAGTTCTCTACAAATAAATCCAAGGTTAAATATGATAAATAGGGCAAGGAATGCAGAGAAATTCAAATGGCTATTAGCAATGCATCCTGCTCGTTGGTCAAAGGGGTATTTCTCTCTATTGGAAGGGGAGTATGGAGTAAAACCACTTGGGCAGTGAGAACTTCATCTTGCCCCATTCCATCACTGATTCCTGCTCCTTGTCACTGCCAATAGGTGTGCAAAGGTCCTACTCTTCATCAGCACAATGCCACACGCTGCCTGTATCCCAAATTCACAGAGTCAGGCAAAAGCTTACTAGGCCCAAACAGGTTTAATGTTGCCTTTCACTGGATATTCTTTTGCAAAAGAAAAAACCAAGTTCTCATGCACAGGCAGGCAGCTGAAAGAGGAACAGCCACCCTAAGAAGGCAAAAGGGCAAATCTGGAGGAGAAGCTGGTGCACCCGAGGTTTCTGCCAGCTGGAAAATGTGGGCTTGGGAGATGCAGGGAGGAGGGCAGTGCTTGGGGGGACAGGGAGCCCCAGCTCCTACAGGAGCAGCCTTCTCTCCAAACCAGGCAGAGCCAGATGAGTCCTACAAAAATGACCTTGAGAATAAAAAAGTGCTTCTGGTTAGTGTTGGCTAAAATGATTGAAATTGCATGCAGAGAAAGAGAATATTGTCTGATTCCTCTGATTTTAGAGGAAACAGAATTTTCTACTTTCTTTGTAAATAAAAGGACTGCATCAAAGTACCTGAGTGATCAATTTTCCCTGCTATTAGAAACAATCTACTGGGCACAAAACCTTTTAAGTGCTTTGGTCAAAGACAGGACTTAAAAGCTCCATTCATTTCCTCATGGAAAGGCAGCAACTTCATCCTTTTGACTGCAAGTGCACAGATCTTGAAAAGCCAAGGATGCATGAAGGGGACATGCTGGGGACATGATGATGCTGGCACTCCTCTGCCCTCAGCCTCATCTTTCACTGACAGAAGTACAAAGAAGGTGTAAAGCAGTTCTGTGATTTGTGAAAAGCACCAAGTGATTTTGGACCAGTGAAATTACTCTAGAAGAACAGCAATGAGGAGCACACAGCCCTCTCCATGTTTGTAGGCAATGAAGAAAACACAGATGTGACCTTTGTCAGCAGTCAGTGCACTAATTAGTGTGTCAGAGATAATAATTCTTACGTATGAAAATCTGACCTACATATGCTACAAAAGAGGAAAAAGCAACAATTTACTTAAGTCTCTATTATACTCTTAATGATTATAAGCTGAAAAACTAGACCATAATGCAGGAAACTTGTAATTAAAAAGCATCAATTATAATTTTCTCCTTGCAGGGGACATTAGTCAGGTTTGCTTTCCACCGTCCCCTTGGGAATACAGATAGACATGTAGGGCTGTGTGATTCATTGTGGAACAGTCAGAAAGGAAGCAACTCAGTGGGAAAAGATTAGCTTCAAGAAAAAAAGAAAAAGGAAAAGGAAATGATAGTTAAAGACCCCCCTTTCAGTGTTTCTTGTTTGACAAAGCACAGGTGTGTGTCAGGTTGTTTCTGACAGAGCAGCCCTTGCCTCCCTCCAGCCATGACTAAACTGGGTTTCTGCAGTGCACACAATGTTCTGAGGCTCCAGGGCTGAGCCAGCTGATCCTTCAGTCATGCTGAACATTCCATCCTTCTGCAGAGATCAACTGGTCCCCGAGCTCCCTGGGAAGAATGTGAATTTCTCTTCAGAGGGCTGCAAATTTCCCCTCTGCTGCCTGAAGGTCCCTGACTCTCGGCCAGGGTGAACAGATCATCTGGAGCCTGTTTCAGACTCAGCATTCACAGGTAGAACCAGTTTTTCCACAGCGCCAGCGTGTGCTGTAAGCCCGTTTAGAGTGGTTCTTGCAGCCCTGAGGATGTGCCAGAAAATGTGATCCATCACTTTGTGTGCAAGGACTGCACTCACCCTTGGCTTTCTGTGCTCCAGCTCTGCCATGGATCACGCTGCAGAATCACAGCTCACCTCCAGCCACCCCTGAGCTTCTGCCTCCTAACAGCTACTGCAGCTCTCAGCATTCCCAATAAGAATGATCTTCAAAACTCCTGTTCCTTCAATCAGCATGAGATTGAAGCAAAAATATTTTAAAAACTCAAACAGTAATAAAATCAAACATAAGCTTTGCATTATGGGAGACTGTGAGATTTTCATCATGCTTTAAATAATTTAAAATTATTCAAAAGCAATCTATATTTCCTATTGACAATCTCATGTTAATTTAATAACCTGTATGACTGTAATTTTCATTAATTGACTTACACTCTGACCACATCTTAATAGACTTGACAATTTTTTCTCCCATTACAGTCTCACAGCCAAGGAGGGATGCCAAGTTCACCCCTTCCAGCAGTACCATGATTTGGCCCACTTAGGACAAAGCTCTCATCTCTGTCTTATCTTTGTCAACTTCTCTGTCCCCTCTGCTCCTGGGCCAGACCAGCAGCCCTCCTTATCCCTGCCTTGGAGACACTTCTCCCACAAGGCAGAGAGTTTCCTAAGCTGGTTGGAGCTTGAGCCACCCCAGAAAGTCCCACAGTGAGACAGGCTGGGAGAGCCCCAGGGAGCTCAGGAGCTTGGCTCAGGTTAATTCCACGAGGACTGCACTCACTCAGGGCTCTGAGCAGCACAGGTTCTCAGGAAAGACACTTCTGCCCTTGTAGTGCTGTCTCATTGATCTGCAAAGTGGAATTGTGTCAGTCACAGTGGAGACTTGGCCCTGCCTGCAGTTAAACAATGAATAAACAAGGCAGTGCAAGGATTTAAAGCCAAGCTCTCCCTACCAAGAGCTGACAGTGCTCTGTGGAAACAGGTGATTTCAGCAGCCACAGCTCCTCTGCAAGCACCCAACAGGGCTTGGATCATGCCAGCTGGATAACAGTGTGACAGGATGTTTTCTTTGGAAGCACACATTCCCTTGTGGTGCATCACAGCCCCTTGGTGCCTCAGGACTCCACATCCCCACCCAGCACTGACACACAGGCAGCAGCAGGAACCTGGCTCGATGGTGCCATCACCTGCAGCTGGCCTTTTTGTTGGCATATTTATTTTCTGTTTCTCCTAGTGGTCACCTGACAATGACAAACACAGGAATGTTTGGGACAAGCCACCTCCACAGTGCTGATTCTGTCACAGCACATTTCCCAGAGCAGCACCAGCACCATGAAGTGTGCAGCTGTTAAGGTAAGGACTGATGGGTTGTTTCCTCCAAACCTTTCACAGTCTGGAGGATTTCTCTTCACCAGCCCTGCTCATTCCCCTCTGTCTTTCTTTCATCTTATTTTAATTTTCTTTCTTCACTGTACTGAGCCTTCATGCCAAGATCTCCTTTTACCTCCTGAGTAAAACATAAAACCAGAAAGACAACTGCAGAAAAATCAGGGCAGTAACCAGAGGACAATGAACTGTCACACTGGTCACTTCTGGTTTTCATTCCGTGAAAAAATTGTTACATTTTTTATCATTGCCCCAAAGGAAACCCTGATTTCACCTCCCTCTCTTACACCTTCAGGATTACACAGAAATGTATTCTGTGTAATCTGTTCATTTCAGAGGCAGAATCCATCTTTACTATGACTAACAGTTTAGTTGTGGAATTTCTTCTCAAACAATACCTGTTGGATCTGAATTCCTCTCAACCATGGGAAGGTGATCCAAGCAGTGTGAGGTCCATTTCTAACAATCACCATTAGAGCTTCACACCAAGTCCAGATCCAGGCTGATGGGGGCAGAGCCTGAGAGCCTTTGCAGTGACAGCTTTGCCCTTTGCTGCTCTGTGCCCAATCTTTCATTTCAGTCTCATGCTGCTGTTCTGTCATCAGACTTTGCAGTGACTCCCTCTCCAAGGAAACTGTGATTTTCTTTTGCTATTACATTTAAAATTTACCTACAGTGATTATTTTCTGAAATGGTGAGGAATTTTTCAGCCTTCCCACTCAGCATGTTTGTGGCTGGTGAGAAAATAAATTACCTATATAAATAAATGCTCACATTTAGCTGAAACCTCCCATGCAAGCGACATTCTCACAACTGCTCAACTCTCTAATGGGAGCACTTGTGATTTACAGTGGAACATTTCATAGCATGAAGGCAATAACCCTCACTTTTTGTGATTCCTTAGATATGTCAAATTGCTTATTACCTCCCAAATAACTGCAGAAGTGATGTTTATTCTGCTTTCACCTATTCAGAAAGGCCTTGAAATTCTAAACAACAAAATGGGCTAGCATTTTACATCTGTACTGATACTTTACTGCATTCAGTTTAATTGGTGGGGTTTTTTTTCCATTTGATACACCTGTTTTTCTCAACTTTGTCACATTTCCCTGTGCCTGCCCTCTCCTTGCACGACATGGGCTGTGCTGCGTTTGACAGTGTCCCTTCCCCTGCCCACAAAAGCTGGGCTCAGTACAGCTCAAAGAACTTGAACCGAACCAAGCTCACAAAGCAGCAGGTGGAGCAACACCGCGGAAAAGAAAATAAATGCTGAGGTTCATCAGGAACTGCTCAGAGCAGTGCCCCCGCACTGTCCCCGCACTGTCCCTGCGGTGTCCCCGCAGTGCCCCCGCAGTCCGCCAGGGGGCGGCCTGGCCCCGCCGAGCGACCGCGCACGGAACCCGCGTTACACCGGGGAACCCGCGTTAAACCCGCGTTAAACCCGCGTTAAACCCGCCTTAAACCCGTGTTAAACCCGCGTTACACCCGCGTTACACCCGCGTTACACCGGGGAACCCGCGTTAAACCCGCCTTAAACCCGCGTTACATCGGGAACTCGCGTTAAACCAGCGTTAAACCCGCCTTAAACCCGCGTTACATCGGGAACTCGCGTTAAACCAGCGTTAAACCCGCCTTAACCCCGCGTTACACCGGGGAACCCGCGTTAAACCCGCGTTACACCCGCGTTACACCGGGGAACCCGCGTTACACCCGCGTTACACCGGGGAACCCGCGTTACACCCGCGTTACACCGGGGAACCCGCGTTACACCCGCGTTACACCGGGGAACCCGCGTTAAACCCGCGTTAAACCCGCGTTACACCGGGGAACTCGCGTTAAACCCGCGTTAAACCCGCATTACACCGGAGAAATCGTATTAAACCCGCATGACACCGGGAACTCGCGTTAAATCCGCGTTACACCGGGGAAATAGCATTAAACCCGCATGACACCGGGAACTCGCGGTGAACCCGCCTTAAACCCGCGTTACACCGGGGAACTCGCGCTTAAACCCGCCTTAAACCCGCCTTAAACCCGCGTTACACTGGGGAACTCGCGTTAAACCCGCGTTACACCGGGGAAATAGCATTAAACCCGCATGACACCGGGAACTCGCGGTGAACCCGCCTTAAACCCGCGTTACACCGGGGAACTCGCGTTATACCGGGAAACAGGCGCTACACAGGGAAAGTCGCTTTACACCGGGAACTCCCGTTATACAGGAAAACTGGCGTTACACCGGGAAACTCGCGTTAAACTCGCGTTAAACTCGCGTTAAACTGGCGTTAAACTGGCGTTAAACTCGCGTTAAACTCGCGTTAAACTCGCGTTACACCAGCAAACCCCCGGCGCCGCTTGGCAGCCAATGGGAAAGGAAAGTAACGGCGGGGAGCAGGAGGGGCCCAGGCTCGGGCATTTCTGTGTGCCGCCCCCAAAGGCTCTGCTCTGCAGTGGGGAAATGGTCCAAAGCTGCCCCGCATGGGGAGGGGGCTGTGCTCCCGGAGAGCAGGGTGTGGGGGAACCCCTCGGACAGGGGATGGCACAGGGGACCCGGTGTGTGCCATCCCGATGGGAGTGCCTGGATAAGGAATGGCACAGGGGACCTGGTATGTGCCATCCCCATGGAAGTGCCTGGATAAGGAATGGCACAAGGGACACGGTATGTGCCATCCCGATGGAAGTGCCCAACAAGGAATGGCATAAGGGACATGGGTGCATGCCATCCCTTTACTCTGCTCAAAAAGTGAATATTTACCAACACACCTAATTTTCTGCGTGCTGAGCTCAGCTTGGTGACAATACAAAATCTCTTTGTTGTTGTTGTTGTTTTCAATAATGTATTGTTTGAGCTCTGATCTGAGTTTTGATTTGTTTGGTAACAGATTCAAGACTTATTTCCCAAATATTTCCAAAGGAATCGTGAGGCCTGTTTGGCCCATGCTCATTCCAGGACTCCTTGTGTAGTTGTTTACTCATGGGCCCATTTACCTTGTCTTCACTGGGATGTCTGTTGATTATTGGCCCATGCTCTGAAATACTTTTGTGATCTGCAAGACAAAACAGAAGAGCTCAAAGCAGTGCACAGCACTCTGAGAGGTGGACAGTTCACACGTTTCAGTAGGGCAAACAACTTGTACTAGATAACTAAATCCAAAATAATTTAGGATTATTCCAAACAAGAGACAAGCTGAAAGTGAGCAACAAATTCTTCCACTGCTGCTCCATCATGCTCAGATGATATTCTGAAGCTTTCCAAACCCCAAGCTTTGCCAAAGGCTGGGAAGGGTTTTTGGAGGAAATTTTACCTTTGTAATTTAGTAAAAACACTTATGTGAATGTGAACACTCCCCCACTCAGTTCTCAAAACAATTTAGTGCATTTACCTGCTGTTAAATGGGTTCCTAACTCCAGATCCAAGAGCCTGGAATCTGGGCAGTGAGGGCATCTTCCAAAGGCCAATCCATACGATGGATCTGTGGCTCATCATGAATAAAAAACTTCACAGGCATTCATTGCAATAGGAATGTGCAAGATCCAGTGCAAAGGTCAATTCAGAGTTTTCTTTATTAAAATACCTTTTCACATTTCTTATACTAACGCATTTGCATGGACACTCATGGGATGCTGAAAGAACATTTGTCAACAGAAGAGAGCTATGAAGTCAGTCAGTTGTGACAGGCTCGTGATACAAACAACATTTGCACAGGGAACAATAAATTAGAGATATTAATCAGTAACTGGAGCTTGAAATTTTAAACATTTGGAATGGAGGATATAACCCTTTAAACCCCTTTTGTGTTTCTTGCTGGCTTTGCACTTTTGATGCAGTACTTAAAGCAGTAATTATATATCTGTATACAAACCCATGGCCCCTTTTTTACTATTTTCTAATTAAAATGAGAACCTTCTTACC